CGGTCACAGTCCGCCACGACGGGAGTCTCGCGTCGCCGGATTTCCAGAACCCCACCGTCGAATGATGGCATTGGGCGGAAGTACCGCGCCGGTACCCGATCATGCAGTTCGAAGCTGAACCACGGCGCAGCCTGGCTCGTCATCATCGTCGAGCCACCGACACCGGCCCGCTTTCGCGCTACTTCCCACTGCGTCAGGACGATGGCGTGCGTCCAGTCGCCTTCGGCAAGTAGCCGACGCATGATCGGCGTGGTGAGGTGAAATGGGATGTTACCCACGACGACGTCGCGAGTGAGTGGTTCACGCCTCACGTCGGCATGGGCGATGTCGACCCCCTTCAGTTCGGCCTGCAGGCGCTTGACCCGGGAGGCATCGATGTCGATAGCACGCAGATCACGACCGAGCGTGCACAGGTGTTTGGTGAGCGCGCAGCCGCCAACTCCGATTTCAAGGATTGAGCCTTTGGTGGTTGCGACCAATTCGGCGATGCGGACCAGCGTTGGTTGGTGGGTGAGAAAGTTCTGGCCGAGTTCGGCTCGGCCGCCGTGGTGCGATTGCGCAAGCATGTGCGCTCCATTCGTGAGGAAAGGGAGCACCCGGCAGATCGCTCGGAACGGCCAGCGCGTGGCATAGCTTCAGCAGCGCCTCCGGGTGCATGGGCATCCGGAATGACGGGGCGCTGGCCAACGAAGAGCAGCTCGCGGGCGAGTTCAGCGGCCAGTGCACTGATGATTGCCTACGTACTCATGTCCACAACTTTAACCTAGGCCGATCGTCGCAAGCGAACCGGCACCAAACAGACCGTGACTAAACCTCAACGAATGTGACTTACGTCTGTGCAAAACCAGGTCTTAAGTCCCAGTATTCGAGCAGTGAAAGATTAGTTCTTGTCCACACCCGTGGAGATTGTTCTTTTACCTGTTCAGGCGGCATAACTGGACGTTAAATTTTTGGGTTATCCACGCGCTATCCACTGGACGACCCACATGTCGATCGGCGATTCCCACACGATCCGCACATCTTCCCCACAGGCACCGGTTTTGTGCGCCGATGGAAGGACTTAGGCTGGCGATTCTTGTCTGTGGCGCGGCCTACCGTGGCAGATATCAACTCCCAAGAAATTCCGGCGGCTCGAGGAGGACGTGCGTGAGCGTTACCGACCTCTA